TTCTCATATGCTTCTGTGAAGGTGTTTAAAGTGGCTTGTGTCTTCTTCTGAATGTGCACAGACGACGTTGTCATCAGCATATTGGAGTTCTATAACAGATGTTGTTGTAACCTTGGTTTTAGCTTTCAGTCTGCTGAGGTTAAATAGCTTGCCATCTGTCCAACAGAAGATTTCCACTCTGGTGGGAAGCTTCCCATCAACAAGATGAAGTATCATAGTATACTTACGTACCACACCACAGGTACGTACCACAGAAAACAAGGACTTAATGAGAAAATAATTCATTTTTCTGAAAAGGTGAATTTTAAACTTTAGGTGCTTATCAATCCCCATAGCCACACCCCACTCAAAGGCAGGTCTGCTTGCCTCAGAGGCTGGGGAATAAAAGGACAACGCCTGCGGGGCCTCAGGTCTAAGCAAGAAGTGAAGGTACCATCACCAGGGGCTTTGAGGGAAGGAGCACTGTTTGTTTTCCTTTCTACCTCTGGCTCAGCTCCTGGAGACTCACTCCTGGTAGAACTGAGGCCCTGACTCTGCAACTCGAGGCCAGCAACAACATCTGGCAAGTGATAGCTCACAACTGACTCAGGTTGTGGGCTCTTCCACAATCCACTTAGGAAAGCACAACTGTTTAAAATCTGTGTTCCTCTGGACTTTTACCAAACTGATCATTAGGAACATTAGGAAGAACTTTCGGACTGTGAGAGCTGTTCAGCAGTGGAACTCTACCCCGAAGTGTGGTGGAGGCTCCTTCTATGGAAGCTTTTAAACAGAGGCTGGATGGACATCTGTTGGGGATGTTTTGAACCACCAACCTTTTAGTCAGCAAGTTCAGCAGCTCAGCGGTTTAACCCGCTGCACCACCAGGGGGCCTGCAAACATGAATACATAAGGTCTAAAGAATGATGCAATAGTTGTATAAAATAAAAGTTGGAAATAATTAATCAAACTGTGCTAGGGTTGAAAATAATAAGTTTGGGAAAATCAATCTACAAAATAAATCTACAATTCCCAGAATCTCTCAACTAGGTGGCAGGAGGATTCTGGAAGGTAAGTTGTAATTGAAAAACTTTGACAATCTATTTCACTTAGAACCCTTCTAGGTAAAGGTAGGTAAAGGTAGTCCCCTGACATTAAGTCCAGTCATGTCTGACTCTGGGGTGTGGTGCTCATCTCCATTTCTAAGCCGAAGAGCCGGCATTGTCCGTAGACACCTCCAAGGTCATGTGGCCGGCATGACTGCATGGAGCGCCGTTACCTTCCCGACGGAGCGGTACCTATTGATCTACTCACATTTGCATGTTTTCGAACTGCTAGGTTGGCAGAAGCTAGGGCTGACAGCGGAAGCTCACACCGCTCCCCGGAATCGAACCTGCGACCTTTTGATCAACAAGCTCAGCAGCTCAGTGCTTTAACCCACTGCGCCACCGGGGGCTCCCCAGAACCCTTCTACACAGCCCTATATCCCAGAAAATCAAAGCAGAAACCCGTTATGTGAGTGTGGACTCAGATAACCCAGTTCAAAGCAGATATTGTGGGATTTTCTACCTTGATATTCTGGGATAGAGGGCTGTGTGGAAGGTTTCCCTGATAATGTGTAATATTCTGCCTTGATATTCTATGATATAGAATTGTGTGGAAGGAACCTAAAACACCGCAGCACTTCAACACACTCTAAGACCTTAAACCTAAAATTGGAGAATATACCTTCTGAAATGTGCAGATTATGAATACTGTTGCTCCGATTGTCAAAATAAAAATATTCAAAGGTACAGAAATTGTCCCCAAAGAGTGCAATGAGGACATAGCATGCCCAATGGCTAAAGAATGAACATTTACTGGTAGGAGGAATGGGAAGTGGACTAGAACAGAATGGAACAAACAACCGTACTCTCTTGTTTCACAATAGGCAGCTATTGCCAGACAGGAACTGAAGACACATGTGAACTGTCAGGGGTTTCCCCCAGTCCCAGTGTTCAACCAGAACATCAAAGGAATCACTTTCATTTCATTTACATTTATACTTACTATCTATAGAATAAGCATAATGTACTAGACATTTCCAGGAATGTGGCTTATAGGAGGCAAAAGGTATTGTCCCTACCAAAAACAACTCTTCACCTACAGTTAAACATTGTTTTAGTCCTGACAGTCAGCAGGATGGAAATGTTTAAGCAGTGGATCATGGCTCTGGATAGAGACTAAGGTTTGAATCCTCACTTAGCCATGAAAACCCATTGGGGCCCCTTACACACAGCTGAATAAAATACCACATTATCTACTTTGAACGGGAATATATGGCAGTGTGGACTCAGACCAGCTGTGCACTGATCTCCACACATTAAAAAAACTCACAAACAAGCGTCTTCCAAGAAAAATAAAAACAAACTAACAAAAGTCCTATGGCAATCAGCGAGTGATGATGGGGGCAGGATTGTGAAATCTGGAAGCCCCTAGTCACAGACTGGCACATGGTCGGTGGATACGGACTTAGTCGTTCTACCTCAAAGTCCGAGGCAGTTGAGTAGTTCGGCAGCTGTATCCATGACTGAGCAGCCCTTTTTAGGACCCACTCTGCTCACCCCACATGGGGAAGGAGCTAGAAAAGGTGCCCTGAACATAGTCTGCCTCTCTTATCTCTGACTGGACTGCCGTGTCCAGAGGGGTCACCACCCTGCGGCCAAAATGAAAAATGAACTTTGGAACATGGAGCGTATGGACACTGTTGGACTCCGATATCCCACAATATCAAAGCAGATATTGTGGGATTTTCTGTCTTGATATTCTCGGATATAGGGCTGTGTGGAAGGGCCCTGGGTGATCTGAGTCCACACTGCCATATATTCCAGTTCAAAGCAGTCCTGAAATCTTCACTGGTTGCCAGTCTGCTACCGGGCACAATTCAATGTGCTGGCTTTAGCCTATAAAGCCCTAAACGGTTCTGGCCCAACTTACCTGCTTGAACACATCTTCCCTTATGAACCTGCTAGGACTTTAAGATCATCCGGTGAGACCCTGCTCTCGATCCTGCCTGCATCACAAATATGTTTGGTGGGAACGAGACAGGGCCTTCTCAGTGGTGGCCCCTCGACTATGGAACGCCCTTCCTGGGGACATTAGGTCGGCCCCCTCTCTCTTAACATTTCGGAAGAGAGTCAAGACTTGGTTGTTTGAGCAAACGTTTGAAAATGCAAGGTAAAAGACATAGGAATTGGAATGACTGGATGACGAGATAGGACAATGTTTTTATTAGGAGACACAAATGATGTATGATTTTAGTATTCTTGTTATGGTTTTATATTATGTGTTAATGTTTTTAAATGTTTTATGGTGTTTTTGGGCATCGAATCATGGCCATTATAAACTGCTCTGGGTCGCCTAAGGGCTGAGACCAGCGGTATACAAATATCTATATCAGGGGTCCTCAAACTTTTTAAACAGAGGACCAGGTCACAGTCCCACAAACTGTTGGAGGGCCAGATTAATTTGGAAAAAAAATGAATGAATTCCTATGCACACTGCACAGATCATATCTGTAATGCAAAAACACTTAAAAACAATACAATAATTAAAATGAAGAACAATTTAAACAAATATAAACTTATTACTATTTCAATGGGAAGTGTGGGCCTGCTTTTGGATGATGAGATAGGATTATTGTTGTTGTGTGCTTTCAAGTCATTTCAGACTTATGTTGACCCTGAGCAAGGGCCGGGTAAATGACCTTGGAGGGCCGCATCCGGCCCCCGGGCCTTAGTTTGAGGACCCCTGATCTATATAAATAAAAAAAATGTAATGTTAGTTTGTGGGATTAACGTAATTAAAAAACCACTGGATGAATTGACATAAAATTTGGACACAATACACCTGTCAGGCCAACGAGTGACCATCACTCATATAAACACCAAAAAACACAGCGGAAGAGAGTTAAAAACCCAAAAAAATAAAAATACATTACAATGCATGCGCAAAACCACATATATACACATATACACAAATATACACACATACATATACACACAAAACACATAACACAGACTGGGTCACAGGAACGCGAGCCAGGGGATGGCTAGTAAATAAATAAATAAAGTGGGATTTTATTCAGCTGTATGGAAGGGGCCTCTGATTAGAACAATGAGTGCTGAATTCTAGACAACTTCACTAGGTTTTGGGCTCCAACTCCCAAAAGCCTCAGCTGCCTCAGCCTCTGATCAGGGATTCTGCGAGCTGAGGTCAAACACTGGCTTTTTGAATAGAACTCACTTGGTTCTTGTGGGTTTTTCGGGCTATAGGGCCATGTTCTAGAGGCATTTCTCCTGACGTTTCGCCTGCATCTATGGCAAGCATCCTCAGAGGTAGTGAGGTCTGTTGGAATTAGGAAAATGGGTTTATATATCTGTGGAATGGCTGGGGTGGGGCAAAGAGCTCTTCTCTGCTGGAGCTAGGTGTGAATGTTTCAACTGACTGCCTTCATTAGCATTTGAAGGCCTGGCTGAACCTGGGGAAATCTTTTGTTGAGAGGTGTTAAGATGTGCCTGGTTGTTTCCTCTCTGTTGTTTTGCTGTTGTAATTTTAGAGTTTTTTAATACTGGTAGCCAGATTTTGTTCATTTTCATGGTTTCTTCCTTTCTGTTGAAATTGTCCACATTCTTGTATTTCAATGGCTTCTCTGTGTAGTCTGACATGGTGGTTGTTGGTGTGGTCCAGCATTTCTGTGTTCTCAAATAATATGCTGTGTCCAGGCTGGTTCATCAGGTGCTCTGCTATGGCTGACTTCTCTGGTTGAAGCAGTCTGCAGTGCCTTTCATGTTCCTTGATGCGTGTCTGGGCGCTGCGTTTGGTGATCCCTATCTAGACTTGTCCACAGCTGCATGGAACTCACTTCTTTTGGAAGCTAGGCGGGTGAGGCATGCGCAGTAGGGATTAATGAGCCATGGAGGCTTCTTCCGCCCTGACTGTGAGCCCGCCTTCGGAGTCCTGGGCCGGTTGCCGGGGCAACGGGGAAGCCGCGCGCCTCTCGGAGGCGTGTTTCCTGGCCTGGCTGGTCTTCTCTGCGGGTGAGTGCTCAGTTCTTCCTTCAGCGAGGCCTCACAAGGAAGGCCCCTTTCCCCATATTACTAAATATGAGGTTACCTTCTCCGTTTAAGTTGGAACCAAGGAAGAAGGGGCTGCTTCTGGTCTTTCGCTGTGTCTTGTGTTGCTTCAGTTCCCAGCAGCCCTGGCTCAAAGCCTGGGGAAGTCGCAGAGGCAACAGTTGTGTTTATAGTGGTCCACTGGCACTATAAACAAACACAGGTGTTGCCTCTGTAACTTCCCCAAGCTCTGTGCCAGGTCTGCTGGGAGCTGAACCAACACAAGACACAGTGAAAGGCCAGAAGCAGTCCTATGGATACAGGGACTATTTATTTATTTATTTATTTACTTTACTTTACTTGTATACCGCAGTTTCTCAGCCCAGCCGGCGACTCAACACGGTTTACAACAAGGGTAAAAAGTCAATCAACGATATACAATTTAAAACCATAAAAGCATAATATACAATATTGACACAACAATAACAACACAATGCATCTCATAACTAGAGTCGTGATCCAATTCGTCGTCCATATTTCCATTCCTGTAATCATCACATTCATTGCACTGTTATCCGAATGCCCGTTCAAACATCCAAGTTTTTAATCTTTTTCGAAACACCATTAGCGAGGGGGCTGATCTAACCTCCATGGGAAGGGCGTTCCACAGCCGAGGGGCCGCCACAGAAAAGGCCCTGTCTCTCGTCCCCGCCAGCCGCACCTGTGAAGCAGGCGGGATAGAGAGCAGGGCCTCCCCAGAAGATCTTAGGGTCCTGGCGGGCTGATAGGCAGAGATACGTTCGGATAGGTAGCTTGGGCCAGAACCGTTTAGGGCTTTATAGGCCAATGTCAGCACTTTGAATTGAGCTCAGCACTTTGAATTGAGCACAAATTTATGAGACATTTGAAAATAGCACAAATTTATGAGACATTTGAAAATAGTTTCATTGCACCATTATCTCTCATATTAGGAGCCCCCGGGGGCGCAGTGGGTTAAAGCACTGAGCTGCTGAGCTTGTTGATCGAAAGGTCGCAGGTTCGATTCCGGGGAGCGGCGTGAGCTTCCGCTGTCAGCCCTAGCTTCTGCCAACCTAGCAGTTCGAAAACATGCAAATGTGAGTAGATCAATAGGTACCGCTCCGGCGGGAAGGTAACGGCGCTCCATGCAGTCATGCTGGCCACATGACCTTGGAGGTGTCTACGGACAACGCTGGCTCTTCGGCTTAGAAATGGAGATGAGCACCACACCCCAGAGTCAGACATGACTGGACTTAATGTCAGGGGACTACCTTTACCTTTTACCTCTTATATTAACTTCTATCTGGCAGTGGCAGTGACCTTAAGAATTGGCCCTATAGCAGGTATGGGCAAACCTAGGCCCGGGGCCCGGATGTGGCCCCTCGGGCTCTTTTCTCAGACCCTTCTCTCTGTCACCATCCTATCCCTTCTTCTTTCTCTCTTTCCTTCCTACTTCCCTCCCTTACTTTCCTTTCTCCTTCCATCTATCCTTCCCTTCCCCCCTTCTCCTTCCTTCCTTTCCTCCCTCTTTCCTCCCTCCTTCCCTCTTTCCTCCCTCCTTCCCTCTTTCTCCTTCCTTCCTTCCTTCCTTCCTTCCTTCCTTCCTTCCTTCTTTTGTCTTCTCCCTCCCTCCCTCCCTCCCCCCTCCCTCCCTCCCTTTTGTCTTCCCTCAATTCCCTTTCACCCTTCTCTTCCTCCTTTTCTTCCTCCCTGCCTTCCTTCTCTTTTTTCCTTCCTCCTTTCCTCTTGGGGGATGTCTAGCCGGGAGAAGAGAAGGTAGAGAACCATATTTCAAGATTTCAAAGGGTGTCCCATTGAGGAAAAGGAGGGGGAAAATGACTTTCTGCTGCTCTAGAGACCAGGGCATAAAGGAGCAATGGTTTCAAATGGCAGGGAAAGAGATTCACCTGAAAAGATTAGGAATAACTTCCTGAGAGTAAGAGCTGTTGGAGAGTGGCATAGGCTGCCAGGAAGTGTGATGGGGTCCCCTTCGCTGGAATCTTTTCCACAGAGGTCATCTATTGAGAGTGCTTTGATTGTGCCTTCTTACATGGCAAGGGGTCGGATTGGATGGCCCTTGGAGATTCTTCTAGCTCTAGGATTCTATATCAGAAGTAGGCAATACGGGGTCTAATGGATACACTTTTTCTCTCCTATCCACCATCTAATCCTGCCAAGACCAGTCCTTTTGTGATCCAAATGTTTCCCATCTTCCCTTCACGTTCTCCCTCCAAAAGAGAAGAGGAAATAGTAGGAAAGGGACTTGGGGAGAACCCCCTGTCCCAGTACATCCTCCCCACTCCAGCCCAGCATGTGGTCCCTAAGTAAGAAAGTTTGCTCATGCCTGCATTATAGCCTTTAACTGCCAGTAATAAACATATGCCATGTGACAGCGTTCTCAGGGCTGGCTCATGGGTTGTGGCAATTTCTTCCCAATGAGGCCTTTCTACTTCTCTCCTTCTTCTCTAAGGGGCCGTGGCGGCGCAATGAGTTAAACCTTGTATTGCTGAACTGCTGAGCTGAAAGTTGGCAGTTCGAATCCGTGGGATGGGGTATGCTCCCACCATGAGCCCTAGCTCCTGCCAACCTAGCAGTTTGAAAATATGCAAATGTGAATAGATAAATAGGTACCGCATTGATGGGAAAGGCATAAGATGCTTCAGGCAGTCATGCCAGTCACATAACCAGGAGGTGACAGTGCGGGCTCCTTGACCTGGAAATGGAGAACAGCACGTCCCCCAGAGCTAGAGATGAGCACTGCCTCCAAAGCCAGAAATGAAATGAGAAGCCTTTGCCTTTTTTGTGTTTGTGTATCTCATTATATTGTAACAATACATTGAATGTTTGTTGGTTAATCCGCTCTGAGTCCCCATGGGGAGAAGGGCGGAATATAAATAAACTGTGTTGTTGTTGTTGTTGTTGTTATAGTTGTTATGTTATGTTATTATTATCTCTTGCTACTGGCAAAAAAGCCTTTTTATTTGGTTATATCTTTTTGGAAGTACAGGTTGAGTATTGCTTATCCAAAATGCTTGGCACCAAAAGTATTTTGCATTTCAGATTTGTATTTGATTTTGAAAATGGCAGGAATCTAAACATATTTTATTTATTTATTTATTTATTTATTTATATCCTGCTTTAGCTGTCCATACGGAGACTCACAGCAGCTCACAATTAAAAACATTATAACTTAAAATATAAAAATATACAATAATAAAAATATGTCATTATATTTTGTATATTTATTTACTTACTTACGTTATTTATATCCTGCCTTTCTCACCCCAAAGGGGACTCAAAACGGCTATATTATCAGTATTAGTTATAATTAATACATTGGTATTACTATATTACAATGTTATTATTATATATTATTATTCAGTCTGTGGCCTCAGAGTGCCAGTTGGTGTTGTGGGGAGGGGTTCCCATACACAATACTCAACACACATCTATGCCTCCTGCCATTTCACATATCCTTCTTCTTTTTTCAGCCTCATGTTTCATTTGTTGTCTACTTGTGTTGTATATGAGACATTAAGCTAGTGAGGGACTGGCCCTATCCTGACACCACTATGTTCCATAGTAATCAGAACAGAAAGGCAAAGGAATCATTTAAGACTGTATTTGATCAATCTATCTGTTTATAGGTAAAGGTTTCCCCTTGATATTAAGTCTAGTTGACTTAATATCAACAACAATAATAACAATTCTATACAATGTCTGGGGACCGGTACTCATCTCCATTTCTAAGCTGAAGAACTGGTGTTGTCTATAGACGCCTCCTAGGTCATGTGGTCGGCATGTCTGCATGGAGCGTTGTTACCTTCCTGCCGAATCGGTACCTATTGAGATACTCACATTTGCATGTTTTCGACTGCTAGGTTGGCAGAAGCTGGGGCTAAAAACGGGAACTCACCCAATACCGCGAATTCGAACCACCGACCTTCCGGTCAGTAAGTTCTGCAGCTTGGAGGTTTAATTCACCATGCGACTGTGGCCCTGGTGCAGAACATACCATATGGAAACCTAGACTAGAGAAATCAGATCTGATATGATTTTCAGACATGAAGCTGACGCTATAATACTTGCAGAAAAACACAAAGACTTTTTGTTATTTATTCGTTCAGTCGCTTCTGTCTCTTCGTGACCTCATGAACCAGCCCACACCAGGGCTTACTGTCGACTGTGGCCACTCCCAGTTCCTTCAAGGTCGAGTCAGTTGCTTTAAGGAGAACCTTTATCCATTTTGCCCTTGGTCGGCTTCTCTTCCTTTTTCCTTCCATTTTCCCCAGCATCATTATCTTTTTCACAGTATCCTATCTTCTCATTATGTGGCCAAAGTACTTCATTTGTGCCTTTAGTATCCTTCCCCCCAGTGAGCAGTTGATTTTATTTCCTGGAGTACCCAGAGCTGAGTCTCAGTAAAATGGAAATAGTTGTATCCATGCTGATCATAGGACAAATGTCAAAATACGTGCAGAATGTGCAGCTGTGTGCATGACAGGCTACCAGTTCCTGCAAATTTACTGACTTGAGCTGTTGCAATAGTGGAAACTGCTTGTCAGCTTTCTCAGTGATTGTTGAATTTACCCATTATATATGTGCATATAAGTGTATGGTCAAGGAAGGAAGGTCTGTTCACTTGAATTTGAAACAATGGATTGCGTGAGCTGCACTGACTCACAGATGAAGGAAGTTTCGGTGAACTGGAAATGGGTGACTGTATTTATTGCGAAGAGATAAAAGCTATGCACATTAATGGTCTTACAACCCCAACAAGAAGCAGTTTCTTGTGTTCCACCGGCTTTATCTTGATGACAAGGGATTATTCTCCTTTAACTGTAAACAATGAACAAAGATTCACCTGTTACACAGTATGAAGAGAGAAGATAGTAAATGAACTAGGAATTTTCTTTCTCCCTTCAGTTTTTCTTGTCACAAACATGCACTAGAACGGAACAGTTTAGTTCTCTGTATTTTGTTGCACAATCCACACAGAGGTATTCTAGGACTTTGTCAACTGAACAATTCTATACAATGTCCCAATTTCTTAGATCCAGTGATTTTTTTACAGACAGAAAATATCTGGGATTTACTGGAAATGAAAGTATCATTAGGTTATTCTTTAGTGTAATATCTGCGCACAAAAAAAAGGTCCCCAGCCATTAGGCTTGTGCATTTCAGCTGAACCTCGATTCTTTTCTGCTGGCTGAATCTCGGGAGACCCATGGATCTGTTTTTGTGTACCTCCCAAAAACAGGGAGGTTGTCGAATAGCTGTTTCTGGTCCATAGCCAAAAAATCCAGGAAGATCCAGCCCATCGGCAAGAATGAGGAACTTATGACGCTCCTCTTTCTGTTCTTGGGACTCTTTCCTATCTTCCTTTCAAGGGAGTCTGGGTTTGAAGAACGGATTAAGGAAGCGTCGTTCCTGGGACCCTTTCCTTTCTTCCTTTCAAGGGAGTCTAGGTTTGAAGAACGGGTTAAGGAAGCATCCTTCCTGGGACCCTTTCCTTAGACACAGCTTGCGTAAGACGTGTCACAGTGTTCTTCTATTCTGATCAGCCCAACAGGCAGGACTCAAAGGGAAGTCCTGTGTGAGCAGCAGGCAGCCTTTCTGTGCCATGTGGTGCTGAATAGGAGTAGTCCCTTAACCGACCAAAATACATGACTTTGGAGCCCTTTCTGTTACAGCCATTCATCCAAGCCGGATGAATGGTTTGGATGAATGGAACTGATCACTCTGAATCCATGCACAAGTCTACCAGCCATGCCAATAGTAGTTGTAACTGTAATTCACAACCTCCGAATGACACTACATTATAAAAAGGCTGCACTCAATTCCTATTAAATTATTTTTAAAAGCCTCTTAGCCAAATGACCTTTGTGAGCGTTTCTAAAGAAAAAGGAAATAAGTGAGATTAAAAATGTGACCATTATAGGCACAAATGGACAATTGTATACCAGATAATCTTTTTTTAAAAAAACTGCCAATTATCAGAGATTGAGCCAAGAGAAAATAAATATCTGAAAAGGTGAGGGTGATAAAGGCCAAGATGAGACTTCCATTACACTAAATTTAATAGGAGAGTGAATTTAACTGTGTTTTTATTTTAGATATTCTATTGTATGACATTATGGATAACAATAGTTCAGTTGTAAGGTAGCAATTATGGCACAGCTGTTTTAGGCAGCAATCATTTCAGGAAAGTTCATTTTTAAACTGGGTGAAGTGATGCATTCAGCAGAGTTGCAGAGGCTTCTGGAGTGACAGTTTATTTTTCTTTAATTTGCTCAACATGCCTATCAGCTAAGCCCATTGTCTCTAGAAGCTTCTGAATAGTGTTTTCAGTGGATTCAAATTGTTTAGGTCAGTGTGTTGTGAACATTTAAGACTTGTCGAATCAGTTCCTCTTAGGGAGAAGTCAGTTGCATGTCCCCCGTCCATATAACAGGTGCTTGTCAGTGTGAGTGCAGAGGCGGAGGCCTTTCTGTGCAAACAGCTCATTTTACAGCTGAATGGTTTTACCCATCTGGATATAGTTACTACGTTGCATCATTAGACTGATAACTTATTTCCTTTGATTTGGCAAACTAAAACCAAAGACTTGGCAAAGTAAGCTCATTTTATCTGTCTATAATATCTTAACAGGTTTTTGTGACGATTCGATAACTATTGATGGTCATGGATAGACATATTCCAATGCATCCATTGCCTGAAGAAATACGGAAGGTATGCTACTGGAGGGAAATGTTATGGCTACTGTTAAATGTTGACATGATGCTTTACTGTTTTGATTTCCCTTCTGATCATTATCATATCTCAGCCAGTTCTTCTATTTCATTTCTCTTCCATTTTTCTCTCTTGTTTGATACTGCTGATATTTACATGTTTCCCATATGTACACACTCAATATATTCTAAAATTATATCTTTAAATCACAGGTTAACAATAACAACAACAAGAACAACAACAACAATAATAATAATATTTTATTTCTTGCCTTCTCTCCTCACAGCTCAAGGTGGGCTACAACATTGCTAAAACACACATTCACATACCCACCTAAAAACAGTCTTTAATATACACATATTAAAACATATTTCTACAAAATACATATTATAATCCACAAAACAGAGATTAGACATAAGATACAATTTTAAAATTCGTCATTAAAACTGACTGGATAGGTCTGCCGGAAGAGATAGGTCTTCACTTGTGTCTTAAATTGCAACAGCTGATCTAGCTGTTGGATCTCTTCCCACAGGTTCCACAGTCTTGTGGCAGCCAATGAAAAGGTCCTCTGGATGACTGTTGCCTTTCACCACGCTGCTCAGGGAGAAGGGGTGACCCAGAAGGTGTTGACCTATGGATGTGTCAATCCAATTTGGGGGGGGGGGTCTAAAATGTCTATACACAAATACATAGGTAAAGGTAAAGGTTTTCCCATGACATTAGGTCCAGTCGTGTCCCACTCTGAGGGTTGGTGCTCATCTCCATTTCTAAGGTATAGATACCTCCAAGGTCACATGACTGGCATGACTGCATGGAGCACCGTTCCCTTCCCGCCGGAACGGTACCTATTGATCTACTCATATCTGCATGTTTTCGAACAGATAGGTGAGCAGACCCTGGGGCTAACAGTGGGAGCTCATGCCACTCCCCAATTTCGAACCTGCAACTTTTTGGTTAGCAAGTTCAGTAGCTCAGTGGTTTAACCCACTGTGCCACCAGATTTCAGTAAGGTATATTGAAACTATTCAAACTTGGTTGGAGCTATAAATATAATCATTCTTTGCAATGGTTCCCTGAGATTTGAAAATTATTTCAATTCTTCCAGAATAAAAAGTATGAGAGTGTATAATACAGAATTTCAGATAATAGGTGATCTGTCACATAGCCTATATCTAAAATATATATTTAGCATACTTAGCTTTCTTAGTTTTAGTTAAAGGAATACATTTGCTACGTGCAGAAGGAAATCAATTGATTCATGATGATATATTTATCCCACCCTTTGCTTGAGTTTAGTGGTAGACAGGGGAATCAATCATTTTCATGAAGAACAAATTATTAAGGAAGTATTTTACATTCTTGATTTAAAGGGAATGTGTTTTACTGGCAACACGTAATGCTTTCTGTTAATTATAGGAATTATGGAAAAATCAAAGATTTTGCTACATTTCCAGATAGAGCCTAAACCCATCATTTCTGCCCAAAGTGGAGACGTAAAGTGGAATGTTTGTTTTGAGAGACAGAAGCAATAGTGCTGCAAGAAATCACAATGTTCTTTTCAGGATAACAGTCCCTCCCTTTCCCTTCACATTACAGCTCGGTTTGTCCCCTTTCAATAAGTAATTTTAGTACTTTGGATCCTTATGGTATTTATTCTGAATAACAGTTTCATATTTCTAAGCACAGGTTGTAACTGCCAGGAAAAATAGAATTAATTTTTCATTTCCTTCAGAGCCACTGTAACTATGATCAGCCTTCATGAGGCAAAAAGGAAGAATTAGGATAACTAAAGGCTGGTGTAGCAATCCTGGAACCAGGTCCCAGGCATGTTGTTTTATGAAAGAATGTTTTAAAATGCATAACATTGAGGTATGTCATTGGAATCCATAATCTGGTTATGGCTTGTCTCTTAATTAAATCTATTAATGCTCATTGTTTTGACTCTTGCAAAAGAACTTGACTACATTTTTCTTTCTTCTCCCCATTTGCTGACATTCAAACAATCTTTTCCCCTTCACAAGGAGCTTTCGTATCTGATATCCATCATTCTGTCCCCATTTTTTTACTCTCTTTGAATTTGAAACATCCCTAATCTTTTCAAGCCTTAACCAAAATAAAATATTAAAATACTTATACAATAGTTGAAAGTTGTCTTCATTTATTGAAGCAAGACACATTATTTATGATACACTTTCTTTGATACATATGTTTGGTAATTTGATGATGAATTTTCCCTCAGTACGTTTTGGGGGAAGAATTCATGCTGTGCAATCAGTTTAATAAATCTTAAAATGCCTTAACATGCTCTGTGGTGACTTAGTCTGGGCACAGATTGCCATTTGCCCCCTGGTGACATCTGGTAAACTTAGAGGAGTCCTTCACTAATTTATTATGGCATATCCGCTCAGCTTCGATTGTAGACATGTTCTTTTAGCTCACATCACTCTTTGCTGTTACTTCTTCTCTGTTGTGTTGCCCTCACTCTTATTTCTCTTACATGTCTTACACCTCTGACCTCTCCACACCTCTATTGGTCAAAGGACATTTGCTATAATGCCAAGTTTTTAAACTTTGTGTTTTTGAAATACATTACAACTGTACCCTTGGTTCACTTCTGATACGATAAATAAATACCTCTCCATAATATTGTATGTATCCCCTCTACCCAAGGGTCTTTGATTCCTGGCTGCAATACATTATTCTAATATTCATATGATATTACTTCCAAATTCCAAATTTGTGTGCATTAGGTTGATAGTGAGAAAAAGCAAGTGATAAATTCATCATGGTATCTTGATTATAAGCTCCCAAAACCATTTGCTTAATTTTGTTGAAAATAAATAGATAGATAGATAGATAGATAGATAGATAGATAGATAGATAGATAGATGGATCATGGATGGATAGATAGGTAAAGTAATTCAGGGATAGGTAACCCTAGATAGCCTTGGCTTACAATTCCCATCAGTTTTAGATAGCAATGTTGATGGTGAAAGACTGTGGACATTGCAGTCCAAAAACAGTTGGATGGCCAAAGTTGTCCATCTTTGAACAAAATGCAGTTTTGGTTTCATGTAGCATTCTAGCTATTATATTTCTTTCAAGAGTGTTCTGTAAATTGATATTTTATCCATGTTATTTTCTTTTATGCTTCCTTGTCCCACCTGCTGTGGAACTGAAGGTGACATACTTGAAATATCCAGGCAATTATTCTCATCTAGACATTTATCTTCATAGTGTCAACAATGTAATTTGTTGCATGCATCTTCACAGCATGCTGTGATCTTCTACATTCTAAGGCTTAAACACATGACATTCTTGTGAGGCTGAAATATGACTTACTCTGACATGTTTTGTTTGTGCATGTAACTAGATTTTCATGTGTAGGAAATATTAAACGATGTGATCTGAATCCTGGTCATAGTCTCAACTAGAGTAGATCCATTTAGGAAGTCTTAATTTATTGTTTAGCAGTTGATTCATTGATTCTGCTTTAACAGAAACTATCAATAGAATTAAGATCCCTGTTTATAACTATCTCATATTCTTTCCTGTGTGGCCAATGTGGTCTAGTGATTTAAGGGTTGGGCTATGACTTGAAAACATGGTTCGATTTCCTGCTTAGCCATGGAAACCCATTGGGTGACCTTGGGCAAAAAACCAATGGAAGGCACACAACTGCAACCGAAAGGAAAGTAGCATCGTCACAGTAGTGAGTTTTTGTGTAGGAGGCAGGAAGATATCACAAACTTTATGATTAAGGAGAGGTATGCAGATGGAAACATGCACAAAGAATGTTTTGTCAACTGAGCCTTGTTTCCTCCTGATAGTTTTCATGTTAAAACTTTGAGTCACTGATATAGTTGAACAAATACAGTGTGCTTAAGTAATATTTTTTTCAGCATTTCTGGTGCCGAACATGCATAGAACTCAAACCTGTTGCGATCTGTTGATAGGCAATTATGAAAACTAAAAAAGAAGAAGAAATGGTAGAGCTCATAAATAAAGCCGACCTCCTTTTATAAGGAACTCAGGTATAATCCAAACATGTAATTATGTGCAGAGATACATCCGGTTTAAAATGATTAATAATCTCACACCATCCAAATTTCATAGTTTCTGTGTGACTCAGAAATGCCATGTGCAGCACATCACACTGAAACACTACCTACTCATGGTTTTGGTGGACCACAAATGTGGCTTTGTCAAGCAACTGTTACAAGACTTTATTTGAAGTACATGTTGTATTTGAAAGATGTAACACAGAATTTCTAAATAAAATAAGGTTTGAATTTTAAAGGGAAGTGCTTCCTCTCTTACTAAGTTATGCGGTAACTTAATAACTTCACACCGGAAGTTACTTGCAGTTTCTCAAGTTGCTCCTGACACAGAAAAAAGTGGTATGTGAAAAATTGATGGATTGCCTTTCATAGCTTTCAGTAGTTTTTGACCAAACTTGAATAGTTGTCCTTCCCTAGTAGCAAGAGTGACCTCATTCTGCCTTGATGCCCTGCTAATGTTAGTCACTAACCATCAACAAGAGGTGAAGCTGGTAGATTAAAACATTGCAACTCTGGACAGTGCAACACTGTAGAAATTGTTACTATGTTTCCGCTCCACTGCATTTTGTTCATTGCTATCAGTAAGCCCCTGGTGGCACAATGGATTAAACCCTTGTGCCAACAGAACTGCTGACCTAAAGGTTGGCGATTCGAATCCAGGGAGTGGGGTGAGCTGCCATCTTTCAGCTCCAGTTTCTCATGTGGGGACATCAGAGAAGCCTCCCACAGGATAAAACATCTGGGCGCCTCCTCGGCAATGTTCATGCGGATGGCCAATTTTCGCACACCAGAAGCAATTTGCAGTTTCTCAAGTCGCTCCTGATATGAAAAAAAGAAAAGAAAAGCTGTGGGTTGTTATAAGTAGAAAAGAAAAACGAATCTATCACGTGAAAGAGATTTCCATGTACAGAAACATCGGAATTTTCTTCTTGTTCATTAGTAGCAAGCTTCTGTCTTTGACTTCAGTCATTCCTTTTCTTATCAGATTGACTACTACAGTAATATGCTATTGCTGATAAAACAAATATTGATGATTTCTTTGTTGTTTTTTTTAAATTGGACTTTTCTTTGAAGCCATTGTAAGCATTTGAAACAGACTTTAGTTCAGTGACAGACCATATTCTTTGCATTCATCTCCACTCAGAGTGTGGAAAGACTTTTGTCTAAGACCCTAGAGCAGGAATAGAAAATCTGGCCCTTCAGACATCAGAGTGCAGCAATATCTAGAGGACTGGATACCCCCCCCCCCCATTTGCTCTTGAGTTACAGCCTGTTAAAGTGGACAGTACTGCATTAAATGGCTGAAGAAATCTAATTTAATATAAAGTGGTTTTTTGTGTTCCTGTGTGTTCAGTATACATATTGCTTACAATATAAGCAATGCTCATCATACTTTGTACTCTTGTTTTTGTTTTAGATGTCCCGGGATCAGACAGTGTGTAAATACTGTGGAGTCAGTTATTTAATCCTTCATGAGTTCAAGCTCCTTGAAGAAAAATTAAAAGTGATGGAAGAGAAAGTGAAATTTTATGAAGGAAGTGTTGAACGGGAGAAAATACTTCAAGAAAAACTACAGTGCCTAAGTCAAGACTTTGAGCAGTGCACAGCAGCTAGCAAATCAAAAACAGAAAGGTGAGAAGACATTATTTATCCATAGTAACACACTCATTAATGCATTACAGGAGAAAGCAAATTCTGACTGTCTTGCCAAACTCAGCTTGCATTAGATATACCGGTATTTTCTAGGTGATTTCATATTAATTAAGCCACAGTTTGAAATCTTTTTCAAAGGCCAGTTTTTGCTGCTTCATTTGTGTTGTTCGAGACAGCATTTGCATGTGGTATGTTGAGATGGAAAGTGATTTTAAAATCCACTGTAGTGGGAGTGAAACCGAAATACTAGTAGTTTAAGTACCTTAATTATTGTCTTTGTGTGCAGAGGATTGTGAAATTATGACTTTCCCATTCTGAGTATAGCATGGGGAATTTGCTCTTAATCATGAATTTGGTGCAGCTGTTAATGATTCCCAGTAAATTTATATGTCAGGAGTCATCTTAGGAAAGAAAAAAGAGCTTGAAGTTACTGTCATTCTTTATGTTGTTGTCATTCTCTTATTAGCTATAGACATCTAAGTGTGATGCTAACAGTACTCTTGGTAAACTAGTAAGTATAAAAATGTTATTTTATAGGGTCTAGATTGAGAATAATATTTATTTTCCCTGTTTACATGCCCATTGTATACTCGATATTAAATGTCAGTTTGGCTTCCACTGATTTGAATGGCTTACAGGATGTTGAGGCTGTTTTTAAGAAGAACACAAGATTCTACAATCTACATTATTTGAGCTGATGATATTGTTTGGTTGAAAGAGATTGTTCTGTCTGTTGTGAAAGTGTGTATTTGTGAAATAATAAAGTAGGATGATTAAAAAAAATTATATAGCCTAACTATTTCAGCTAGCTAAAGTAAGGAAGACTACTCCATTCTTGAGTTAATATAACATAGTGCTGGTTAGCATACAGTTATTCAGGTTTCTTGTTCAGGAGCATGTTTATCAATATTTAGTGAGGCATAAACATTTGTGGATGAGAGTTTTTTTACTGAGATATAAGCCTTTGTGAGCTAGTCTTCATGTGAGTTTATCAGCTATACGAACTTTTACCTTGCCAAAAGAAAGATATGAATATGGATCTATTTTATTAAAACAGGTTAGCCTTTAGAATACCCAATTTTTTCTGTTTTTGCTCCAACTGACACAACTATCTTATTTGCAATTTGTAAATTATTGGACTTTATGATCTCAAAGCACCCATCTGATTCTTGAATTCCCAATCAAAATGTAAAACTTTGTAACCCTCCCAACAAAAATACACACCAAAAATGAGAGTTGTTCATTGTTTTGTCATTTAGTGTATATCTCTATATTTATCTCCTGCAATCACATGCTTCCATAAAGATACCTTAGACTGAGAATGGGTGCAATCACTTTCTAATATGAGTGCACTCCGATAAGATAAAACCTACTGCTAATTACAACCATAAACAACTATTATGCTGATTTAACTTATGTGCCTTGTTTTAAATGACCACTACACAAAATCAAGGGCAACATATACAGGATCTAAGAAAATTCATAGGATGGCTTGAACAGAAACATTATAGATGTAATCTGTAATACAGAATATAAATGTATTGTTGAAGGTTTTCACGGCTGGAATCACTGAGATATTGTGTGGTTTCCAGGCTGAATAGCCAATTGGCCGTGTTCTAGACACATTTTCTCCTGATGTTTCACCTGCATCTGTGGCTAGCATCTTCAACTCTGAAGATGCAGATGAAATGACGGGAAAATGCTGCTGGAACATAGCCATACAGCCCGGAAACCACACAACACCCCAAAATATAAATAACTGTAGATGTTAAGCACATTAAAAGGTTACATAAAAATACAGAAAGTGCAAAGCTCTTTTAGAGATTTTTCCTTCTCTTTATCAGATCTCTTTCAAGCATAGAGATGTCATATTATAGTTGTATTCTAAATAATCTGTATTAAGAAGTCTCATGTAATGTGCCTCTACAAGATAGAATCAATACAATTTGGCACCATGGCTTAATGCTATGGAATCATAGGAGTTTTCATTTGATGAGTTCCCAACATTGTTTGTCAGAGAAAGCTAAAAGACTGGACCTTAGCAAAGCTGGTTAATCACCAGCAGCAATAGATCTTTCCCAACTGGAAGGTTGGGAGTTCAAGCCCGGGTCGGGGTGAGCACCTTACCTTCAGCCCAGCTTACTGTCCATCGAAGCAGTTTGAAAACAGCTGCACCTGTGAGTAGAGAAATTAGGCACCGCTTAAGTGGGGAGGTATTTTAAGACACCATTAAAAGGCGGCAATCAAAGAACAGAAGAAAAGTATGTGATGAAAAAGGCTTGTCGTTATAGAGAATGGAGCTACAGTACCTCCTTGTGGCTGGAACTAAGCATAACCTCCAGGACGCTGAAGTTGGAAAAATGCCAAGACACATACCTCTATCTGTCTGTCTGTCCTGTATGTCTAATGATATTGAATGTTCGCTGTGTATGTGTTCTGTGATTCATCCTGAGTCCCCTTTGGAGTGAGAAGGGCGGAAAATAAATGTTGTAAATAAATTGTAAAACTACAAACCCCATGATTCCACTGCATTGAGCCATGGCAATCAGTGATGTCAAACTGCATTAATTCTGTAGTGTAGGTGCACTCGTATTACCAGTCGTAATAATAGCTAGCACCATAACTATTACTACTTTGGCACAGAGTTATCTGTAGCAAGTGATAATCTATAGTGTTAAAAAATAAGAAACTAATGAATCTTGAAGTGATGATGCCAGCACCCATTTTGGAAGCTCAACTCATATCACTGAGGGGATCATTCACCAGTGAGAATGATAACAGAGAAAATATCCACACTATGATTAAATAAGCCCCACAAAACCATAGTATTTATTTACCATTTATTTATTTACTATATTTATACCCCGCCCTTCTCACCTCGAGGGGGGCTCAGTACAATCAGTAGGGTGCTCCTTGCAATTTTGAAGAAATAGCTTTTTGTAAAATAAGATGGTATATGTCTTCTGGTTGACATAATACCATTGTGCAGGATATTAAACATGACAGCTATTTGGTGTGCCAAATTGATATATTTTTCATGTGAAACAAGTTTATACAATAATTCATCTTTCAGTTTTAAATGCAGATAGTGGAAAGTCAAACCACAATGCATGAAGAGAATAAAGCACTCAAAGATAAAACTTAACAGACCTCTTGAACAGGATATACTTACTGCCCTAACTCATTTCATGCAGTCTGTGGGAAAAGCAAAACCTTGTTCTTGTTCACTGGAACAGATCAGAGTCAGAAGCACAACGTTTTTTAGCAATGTACTAGCAAATTTTGAAGCATAGACATTTATCATGATAATCTCTTTAGCCACCATCTCAAAGAGAACTCAGGAAGCTATCTTGATTTGTGTATATGTGCCCCTGCAATAAATAGTATAATGCCCAGTGGATTAGGATCAGCTAACAGTCAGTGAGCTGACAAAGGACAGTGTTGTCCTTTGTTGAGGAACCATAAGCCAAATAATGCCTGAACCTAAATTGTCCTGGTTATTAGGATAATGAATTGTGTAAATACCATCCTGAACTTTGGAGAAGAGGTACAATATTAAAAAGATCAGAGCTATGCCCTGGCCTACAATAGCATTCTGGATTGAATCATTGCATTTAATGGCAAATATCAGCTTTAATAGGGAAGAACAGAGAATATGTTCATTTTTAATAGCCTGCTCAACCTGGACATAGCAGCACTCAAGGGAAGAGCCATAAACAGGCCTAGAAAAAACAGATCACAGTAGACATCTCAAATCTGATGAGAACAGAATCTAATGATATCAACCTGAAGTGCCAATAAATTCATAAAAGAAATAATAAAAGTTGCAAAAAATGATGTGCTTAGGTTGTAAGTGCACAGAAGCTAATTAGGAAGATCAACTTATTGATGTCTTAAAATAATATCTTCACTACAGCCAGATCTGTTATGAAAAAAATGCTTAGGGATATATTTTCAGTATAGACTGTAACATAGTAGTAGTCTGTGATTTTTAAAATCTCTGAGAAAATCACACAAACCTTAAGATCGTCTGAAGAGACCCTGCTCTCGGTCCCGCCGCCATCACAATCACGTTTGGTGGGAACGAGAGACAGGACCTTCTCGGTGGTGGCCCCTCGGCTGTGGAACTCCCTCCCTAACGAGATTAGATCTGTCCCCTCCCTCATGACCTTCCAGAAGAAGCTCAAACCCTGGTTATGGGATCAAGCATTCTCAGAATAGATGGTTTCAATGGACTGTTTTTAGCTGACGGCAAAGGAGTGAAGATGGTTTTAATGGATTGTTGAACTGATGGCTATGGATTGATTTGGAGGACAACATGAAATGGTGTACTGTTTTAATGTATTTATAACTGTTTTTAATGTAGGTAATGTGTATATTATGTTGTGTATTATTTGGCACTGAATGGTGCCTGCTGGTAGCTGTCCTGAGTCCCTCTTTGGGGGTGAGAAGGATGGGATAGAAATGTTCTTAATAAATAAATAAATAAATAAATAGTCACCCATATCTCTGACTGACATTTTAAAGTGATGCTCCACCCCTGATCAGACACTGGACTGGACTGCTGAGGGACAATGGCAGCACCAGTCTTATATAAATAATCATAAATAAATGTAGCTATGATTTTGGATAATCCCAAAACTATGACATATTGGTTACCTCCTTCTATTCCTTTATAATCAGGAAACCTGAACCATAAGGTAAACTGGAGGTTTTCAGAAGAACAAAATGTTTTTCTTAATTCTATAAACCCCCCCCCCCCTCCCCATTCACATATATAATCCAGTGAATACTAAGCATGCTTGGTAGGGATGTCAGATTAGCATCATTTGGGAAAACTGCAGGGATGACATTTGGGGAGAGAATAAATCGAACTATCTGTGAAAAGGACCATATCATAGTTGGCTAGAACACAAGAGTCAAGTTGGATTAAAGTAAAGGTCTGTCTAAGCCAGTATTCGGTTCACACAGTGGTCAGCTAGTTGCCTCTGGGAAGCCCTCCAGCTACCAGCAGAACTGGAGTGCAGTTTTCCAATATCTAATATCAAGAACCACACTGTTTTTGATAGCGTACCGTATATAATCCTGATCTATATCAATATATCACAAATAATGTAATATATATTGTGGTTAACTTAGATTTCTGAAGCTGCTTCAGAGCTGGAATCCAATTTTGATGGAACCTATTTTGGACAACCACTTAGAAAGTTCTGATGACCTAAGTTAATGGCCAGTGAAAGATCTGATCTCATTTGATGAAATACACAACAAGGAATAAGGTTTTACACTTCAAGCCTATATTTAGACTCCTGTGGAAGATGATGTTATGCCCATATGGAGACTGGTTCCTCTCATCTGAATTGATTAATTAAATAAAACATCTCAAATTTCAGTGGGGCCTTTGCTGTTAGGACTGTTACTAATGAGAGGTTATAACCTTCAGAAAATAAGAGGTGAGAAAAGCCCTATGTAATAAGATATGTATCTTGTTTTGGCTAATAAAATTTCCTGTTTGATGATGATACAGGTAGGACTTCATGTCAAGTTTGCAAGCATGGACTCATGAGGTAAATTGACACTGACATAATTGGGATAAGTCAGTTACACAGGTACTCAATGGAAACTCAGCATTCCACTTGAGTTGAAGAAGTCATAAATTTTGTGATTTTGCTCAATTCACTACCAGTTTTTAAGAGATTTAAAGGATAAAAATATCAGAGAGTAGCTGCTTTCCAGATGGACTAGAGAAAGTAGCAATTCCTAATCTTAAGGTGACTCAGCTGAGGTGATCTATTTCGCCATTCCTTTTTGGAGAAGACAGACATAAAGCAATTGATAAGAACTGTGGGCTTTGTCACACAAAGCTGACTATTCCATTGCAGTCATGCCATGATAGATAGTGAATACATACTGGGATGAACACCTTTAGTTTTACATCTGTCATTTCTGCAATTCTTGCAGCATGCAAGATATTAATATGGTCTCAGATTTTGTAATGGTACAAAGTACCAGTTTGTTCTTTCGTTTTATGTTGCAGTGTTTTATTAAAAACAATGGGTGCAATCTTAACTCAGTGAAAGTCCAATTTAATTGGCGAGAACACATTTTAATGTCAGACCTGGAAGTGAAGAACACCCTAGTTTTTAGACTATTCTCCTTCCAATGTGGGAGGGCAGCGAACCTCTACCGCTGAGTTGTAGGTTTTGTTTAATACTAACTTATTTTACACATTCTTTATTAACCAGTAAAAATATTTACACTTTGGGTAATGTGAATGTATTTAACTATAACTGATTAAATAATTAAAAGCCAGATGATTAAGCAACCACAGTTATTGAGATTATTATTTCCCAGTTTTAGAATGCCTATATTACGTAGTGAATGAAGAAAGAGGGCTAGTCACACATCTTGCACATACTGAGTTTTTTCTCAAGCAGCTTCCCCCCCCCCCCGACAATTTTCTATCTCCCTCAGGCTCCTTGAGGAAAAAATCTACAGATACTGGGCGTGTGACTTGCCCTCTTCTACAAAGGCTGTTGGAGCATGTAAGAAATCAGTTTGTGTTTGTGTGTGTGTGAATTGTAAAATAAGAAGCATGAAGCTGATTGACCAGGGAGCTAGCTGAGCCTGGGACTTTTGGTTAATATTACATTTTTAGGCCTAGGCAGTGCAGGTGCTTGCAGAGAAACAGAGAGAGACAGAAAAACAGGTGTGTGTTCTTGCTTCATGAGCTGCTGGAAGGAGACTTGCCCTCCTTCCAGCAAAGAAAGACTATTTTTAATCTCTCTAAAAGGACATTATGTGAGTCGATGCAATTGATCACATGATTGTATATATGTTGTTCTGAATTATGAAGAGTAAACTACTAGTTCTTTATTGATCATCTGTGTGGCATATTTTCTTTCTCTGACAAGACAGTGTGTGGACTGATCAAACGTGAACTACACATGTTTTATTTTATATTACACTATAAAGGCAGCAAAAGGTTTTTTGTTTTCAGTATAAGAGAGGTTAATCTTTGGTAGCTAGTAATATCTAGGACTTTTCATATTTATATGTATCCATTTAAAGATATGAAATGTTGTCTGCGCAATTGACTACTGAAATGATAATTTGTTTTACTTTCTTAATGATTTATTTTGAAAAGCTGTAAAATTAGTTTTGATGAAACATTGACATTTTAGAAAACAAATCTTAGACATAAAATATATAGGAATGAATCCAAAGAAACATGAGATGAATACATTCACTCTGAAGTACTGTATAAATGGTAGCAGAAGATTTTGTATTTGGAGTATAAAGGGAGGGAGCCCACAATTCCATGTCTGTACACAGAGTAAATGAAGGGCTTCGTTGTAAGGCAAGTACTAATGGCTGAGATATATACAGCTGGTATTCCTGTTATTTGAGCTTGTTTTGCAGTGAGGAGGTACTTGCGGTCTTACTCTTAGGACCTTCTGTGTTCATTTGAAAGGGACGATGTGCAAATAGAGAGAGAGAGAAACTAGTAAGAATTTGTGCAAAGGGAAGAATCTTACTGAATTTTACCCCATTGTCTTTATGTAGTGCTGTTCCACCAAGCTGGAAAGTTTCCTTCTCTAAGCAGAAAACACCATTAGTCTAAGGCAGTGGTTCTCAACCTGTGGGTCCTCAGATGTTTTGACCTTCAGCTCCCAGAAATCCTAACAGCTGGTAAACTGGCTGGGATTTCTGGGAGTTGTAGGCCAAAACATCCGATTGAGAACCACTGGCCTAAGGCATGGGGCTATTTGTTTTTAGGCAATTGCTAATGTTACCATTTGTTTAATTTTTTTTAGAATAAAAAGTTTATCTCTTGAGATTGAAAGTAAGCAAGCTGCACTACAACATCTAAATGAGCAGTTGCGATGTCTTCAGAAAGAGAAGGAAATTTCACATAGGCAGTTAGAGCTGTTGCGGTAAGCATTCTCATATGGCAATTTGTACAATAATTATTTTTTATTTGAACAGGAAACTGTAATATCTACCTGTAAAACCAACTGGACCATTATTTCCAACCTGGTGCCCTCATACATTTTAAACTTCAACAAACCACTAGCTTGGGAAATGTCATTCAAGGCAGTCTGTATATTAGACATTTCCAGGTCCCATCTTGGAAACTAAACAGTGTCAACTCTGGTTAGTACTTAGGTGGAAGATTGTGAATATCAGCTGCTGTAGGCTATATTTCAGAGGAAGGAGCTGCCAGATACTGTATATACTCATGTATAAGTCTAGAAATTTTAGTTTAAAAAAAAGAAAAAAAAGAAAACTGGGTCAACTTATCCATGGGTCAATGTAAGTACTATATCTTAACTCTTATCCAAACAGGAAACATCCTGTTCTCTGAGTAAATGGCACAAGGTGAATCTAAAAGAAGCACCAAACCCCTCTACTCTCTGTGGTGCTGCTTTGGCTTTTTTGAATGTCTGGGTGGGGAAATGATGCCGGCGGCCAGATTGTCTTTCTGAGGCAGCATTGGTGCTTTCCTCTCTCCACAGAACGTCGTCAAACTTACCCACAGGTCATATCAAAATCCATAATTTTGATCCCCAAACCTGCTCGTGACTTGTACATGAAGTTGACTTATACATGAGCATATATGGCACACACAGAGTCATATAATAGTGAAGAATCTCAGCATGCCTTGTTTTCTATTTCTGTTACCTGATATCTCAGTTCTCCATGCTGCTGCTGCACAATGTCCCCAGTACAGTTTTATTCTGTAGCTTTCTCATTTTTGCTTCTTTGTTTGGCCTTTCGGGTATTTTGTATGCCTTTCCTCTATTTTCCTACATGGGCACCTACAGATCACAGTGGTATTGCCATCTGCCTTTCTGCCTTGATCTTATTACTAGAATTGGAAAGGAGGGAGTGTCTGTTGAAAGGTCCAATACCACTGTTTTTCAGATTTGTGCACCAATCTAAATCTCCTTGGAGAAATATTCTGTAGGAAAAGATTTTGCCATCTGCATGAGAGGAGACTCATTAAAAGTATGTCTTTCATGATCAAAATGTTGTCTGATAAATTACAATACTTGTGAGTTGTTGACATTCCAAATGTTCATGATCATGATATATTAATGATATTAAAAATGATATGAACAATAACCCTTTTGTGAAATATGCATTTTGCCCACACAATGATGCTCACCCTCCGGCCACCCAAATTGAAAGGTAAAAAATAAATAAATGCATAGCCTAAGATTGCTGTGGGATAAACAGACATATTGGAAATATAATTGCAGTTGCTTTATGGTGACCAGTCAAAATTTGAATCATATTCAAAGTACAGACAAATTCAACAAGGAATTAATAAACGATGTCACTAAACAACATGGAGAACTATATTAGCTGCCCTTCTTGATTTGTAGCAGTAGTTTTTGAAATGGTAGTTGTTTCAAATGTTACTTTGTTTTGAAAACCAATGATCAATTAGTTTTTCTTCCCTTTTGGCAGAAAGGCATCGGAAGAACGAATGTTTATCATAAAAAAAGCCTTTGTCCTCCTTCCCTTTATCAGAGAAGAAATAAACAGTATTAAAGAAAAAATATTTGGCTTCTCCCGTCAATGGGTTGCACTAAAAGAGGAGATTTTTTTACATCTAAAAACCATGAATGTTACTGCATTGGAAGGTAAATGATCAGAGTATAACTGTTTTCAGTACATTATTCTTGATGACTCTTTGATTTGTCTTCTCCTTTTCGTAATGAACTTTAACCATGAGCACTGAATTGGGCTTAGGTCTTAAGAATCCAAGTTCATAATTCTGCTCTGCACAGCCGTGCCCACCAGAAATAACTGAATACAGCAGCAACTCGTGACTGTTTTTTGTGGGTCATGCTATGAAATGGTTTGAATGAAATCTAACACAGGGAATTTTCTGTGTCACTGACAATTGCAACTGTCAGTCTTCCCTTTAAGTCATATAGATGAAGGGTCATAGAATTTGAAATCTCCAAAGATGCCTCAAGGGGCGGATGAGGCCTTGACTGGTCGAACTCAGTGTGTTCTCACTTGCAAAAGGCAAGCACAAGATGCATGGGCAAGATGCTGCTGCCATTGCTATCTGCTGTGCTTCCACAGTCTGCCTGAGGTAGTATCAGGTTCTTGTGCATGTGTTAACATCCACTGTAACATTTCACACAAAAAACAGAATGATTAACAGCAACAACAAACTGCTGTGGGAATGTGATGGAATTGTTTTGACACGGGACTAGTGCCAAAACCCTCACAAGATCAGGTGGTTTACAGGAAAATCTGTTTAAAATATATTGCCCAACATGTGAAGTCATTGTTAAAAATGTTAAAACATAATTTACCAAAGAACCCGAACTATCAGCAAACCCCCAACCCCTATGCTCTTCTAATTTAGATATGCTGCTGCTTTGGCCAGTTAGGAAATCACTTTCTCTAAATGTTGAGAGCAGCTGTCTTATTAAATGTATGTCTCGTGCTGAATGTGACACTGTTTCTGTCTTTTTGAGTAGCTGGTGTAGAATTGTTCTGAATATCTTACTTCAGGCATATGCACATGTGTTCTCTTTTCTTTCTATGGAAAAAAGACCCCTGTTTCTAAAGCATGTCTCTTCTTATTGCTGAACTTTGATAGTGGAAATTGAAGGGTAGGAAATCAAAGAACATTGTGCCCCTCTGCATGCCGTGCCACTTTGAAATTGTGTTTTGCCATTTATGCTCTTGGCAATTCAGACCACACATATAATTACCTCTGATTTTAGTCTTTCAGCCCTTACTTGTCACAATTAATGTGCTTTCCAACTGACATAACACATGTATGCTTAGCAAAAGGGGGCTGAATTTTGGAACCTTTTCCTTATATAAATAGAAAGCCTATTTCCAAATGCAGAAATGTTGTGCAAATTAATAATTTAGTTGCAGTTGGAATGGAGATTGCCATATACAGTTATAAATAACCTGCTTATGATGGAACCATAATAACTATAACAATTCAGAGCAATATTACACAAAGCAATAACATTCATTTATTGGTTCCTGCTGTCTTATTTTTGGTTCTTACAAGACATTATACAGGCAGTCCCCAGAATATGAACAAGATGGGTTCTGTAGGTTTGTTCTTAAGTTGAATTTGTATGCAAATGCCTGCTGCAACACAGAAGCAGTGATATGCTTATAAATGGAACTGTTTCTCAATTTACTGAAGTCATCAAATCTCTCTCCACTATTCCACACTCACCGCAGTGTTTCTGGTCTTCCCATTACATCTGTCAAACAGTTGACTTCCTGTTCCATCTTTAAAAATTCTGTCTACTGGCTATCCCACCATATTGCGAAACCAAGAATACATATCCTACTCTCTGACCTTCTATTTTGCTATTTTGCAGATAACGGCTTTTAACAAGTGCATTGACCTTTGTCGAGCCTGAGAATCAGCTCAGAGTTTACTAAAACTGTGCCTCCTTTCTTTTGCCTCATTAGCCCCTCCACCTGACAATTCATCTTCTGAACTCGCTTCCCTAGAGAAATCTGGGCCCCTCTCTGGAATGTGGCCTTCACTAACTACAGGAGACACAGAACGCTCAATTTCAGGACTTAAAATCTCTTGCAGGCTCAGCAGACCCAGAAATCCAATCATCCACTTCTACTTCCTCATTGAAATTAGGTACAATCATTTGCTGAATCAAAACAATGCCTTCCAGCTCCTGCATGGAATCTGCAGCTAGTTTATAGTGGTTATTCACTATACAGTTCATGCCAGTAGTCTTAGTGGAACTTCCCTGCCTTTCCCACAAAACTACCCAAGGTTGCAGTCACCCTGGCCTAACAGGTCAGCAAACTGTCTGGCTTATGGGTGGATAACCCATACATCTGTTTCTAAAAGCAAAAGGCAGCCCTTCGAACTGATACTTTCCACGTATACCAAAACATCACTCTGCTGGAATTTTTCCAGAATCCAATCATTTGACAGGAGGAAACTGTCCACTCAATATATGCGAGGAGAGCTCTAGTTTTCCATGTCTACAGGACAAGTGTACATACAAAATATTCCAAATTCTTCTGTAATTACTGCCAAGATGCGCTTATACGTCTGATATCTCATATATTAATGAATCACAGCCACAATGTGCCTTCCCTTTCAGTTTATGGAACAGGAATTCCCACATCACATCAGGTGTCACTCACTTAGAGCTGTCACTACGTCAGCAACTTTTCTCTGAGGAATGCCATAGTGTCCCCTGCTGCAAGTGGGATGCCTCCTCTTAGAGCAGTGGTTCTCAACCTGTGGGTCCCCAGATGTTTTGGCCTTCAACTTCCAGAAATCCTAACAGCTGATAAAGTGGCTGGGATTTCTGGGAGTTGTAGGCCAAAACACTGGGGACCCACAGGTTGAGAACCACTGCCTTAGAGGGATACTGCCTTTGGAAGAGCTGTGCCCCTTTCCTGCATGGCATGACCTCACCTCCAAGCTCAGTTGCTTGCTAGTCTCCCATATGTGTGATTTCACAAAGACCACGAAAAAGAAGAATGGGTTGCTTACCTGCAATCATGTTTCTTCAAGTTGTCAGCTGTGAAATTCACACATCCCTGTCCATCCTCCCAGCAATCATCTTGCCTCGGTATCCATGGCTGCTATCTTGCAGCTAAGGAACAGAAGCTGTAGCCCCTCTCACTGGCTATATACTACAAAGCGGAGTGTGGATGGGGCTACCGCCAAAATGTATCTTGTAGAGCTTCTAGAGAATTCCAAAACTGACTGCGCAGGTACAGGAGACCATATGTGTGAGTTTCACACAAAATCTCTGTACAATGTCATATATAGAAATGATTAATCTGATTTAGAATAATGTCTGGCTAATACTCTGTAAAGGACTGTGATTGATTTCATTATGTGGAACCAATATGCAACTCTGAAAGCGACTGCGGAATGAATTTGTGAAATAAATTAAAGCAGTTTGTATATTTATTTAAACCACAGCCGTACATATAAAGTGAACACTTTTAAAATTGTGGCTTGTATCTTGGATATTCAGAACAATTTCATTTTTTTCAGAACTGTCAAGGGCAAAACAAAGAATAGGTGAATGCCAAAGGGAAAATCGGGGTCTTGAGGAGGAGGTGCAACATTTAAGACTGGTGTCAGAGGCAGCTAAAAGGGAAGGAGAGCAACTTCAGACTTCTCTGTTACGAGAAAGTGAATTGCAAAACAGATGTCATGAACTGCAAAAGAAAACACAAGGTAAGATATAAAAGAGGTGACATGTTTCACAGAAAGATTGCATTGCTTTAAGGCATAGTTTTGTGTATTGCTCCACTGTTCATTTATTTTCCACTGTTTGCACACACCACCACTGATTTGCACTCTCACTCTCCTTACCCTATCACCAGCCACTTCCAATCAGAAGTTTCTATTTGGGCATTTAAAGAAACCAGACATGGGGCAAAGGGACTAAGATTGTGAAAGAGTGTCTCTCCTAAGGTCACACAACAAGTTTCTGAAAGAGATTCAAATAAGAGACCTCCTGATTTGGAGCTCTTTTTTTACACTACTCCACTTCACTAGTTTCTCTCTCTCTTTTATGTTATAAAGCACCAAGCCATAGATTCCCAATATAGGAGGAGGCTATATTGCTTCCTTCTAAATGGCCCAATTATAAGGTACTTTTATTGACTTCTGAAGAAAAGGGGAAGAAGATCTGGCCATGAGAGAGTAGCAAACTGTTGAGAACATATGCCAACAGTTGGTTTACCACAAAAACTTTAAAACAAGAACTCAAAAGAGAACTAAGAATATCTTTTTAGAAATGTCCATCTTGGTGTTTCCTTTGATTGCTCTAAAGTCTATCTGATCAGTTTAGGTCAGATATTGTCGAAGGCTTTCGTAGCCAGAATCACTGGGTTGTTGTAGGTTTTTTCAGGCTATATGGCCATGTTCTAGAGGCATTCACTCCTGACGTTTAGCCTGCACCTATGGCAAGTATCCCCAGAGGTACCTCTGAGGATGCTTGCCATAGATGCAGGCGAGACGTCAGGAGAGAATGCCTCTAGAACATGGCCATATAGCCCGAAAAAATCTACAGCAACTTAGGTTAGATAGTTTTAGTGTCTTTGGCATCCCTGGTGAAGCTTGGATGAGGCTAGGCACAAAGCTCTAAGACACACCAAATGTTTTTGGGCATTGTCTGGGACTTCTACTAATGGTGTCTTGTAGTCTCCTTTTTGAAATCTGAGACATAGAACATTAATATCTTGTTCCTTTTGTGGGATTATTTGGTATCCATGTCAAGCAGAGTGCAACACTGCCAGTACAATATGATCTTGTAGTATAAAACAGAAGAGAACTGCTCAGGATGCTCTTATAAGGTTAAAACAGTAAAAAAAAAACTTAGATTAACTGTTTTAGGAAATCTGTCTTATATAGCAATGGAGACAAATATATATAAATGGAGTTATATTGTAATAAAAGAACCCACAAAGCTGGATCTCATGTCTGGGTGTAAGACATCCTCAGGCAGGAGCTTCATGGATCCCCCCTTCCTAGACAAAGTCATAAAAGACTGACTTTTGGAAAACTGGGGAAATGACCTTCGCAGGCAGGCAGGAAGCCAAAAGGTTTGAGTACATAGATCAAAGAAATAAAGAGGTGATCTAAAAGGGTAGGTATGCTTTCTTGAACTCCCTCTGTCACTAATTACTCAGTCTATACTAACATTGATGCAACTCCACTTCCAACATCTTTTACAAGACCATTGCAGAACCTAATGCATTATAACATCTCTTACATTGCTGTTTGACTCAAAACTATTTTGAAAGCCACACCATCATTCATTCTACAACTCAGAAGTACCATTCAGGAAGTAGCCTTGATTGATCAGAGTAATTGTAATTTCAGAGTATCACGTTTCTCACAGTATGTAATTTTAGATTTTGAACTGTATGGAATGCCTTTCATTTTGTAGACAATGATGATAATGATACAGTGATCATTGCTGCTATTTGTCACATAGAAGTAAATCTAAAGGAATCCATGGGATCTAAATCTAAGGAAGTATCTGTAAAACATTTTCCTGAGGCACACATTCTCCTGTAGAAGTTCCACTGTCCAGTTTCTAGTCTGGTTGACATGCATTGTTGCATATCACAAAAGAGAATCCTGTGGCATAGACTGCAGCAATAATCTCATGTAATCATCTGGCTTGCAAGTAAGAGACTGAAAATCTCATCCTAGGTTGGAGTATTTGCCCCATCATTTTTCAGAGCTTGAGTATGGTCAATACTCTTCTCTGAAGCTAATACTCATTTTCAGACAGTATGGGAAGTTATAGACTTTGAAATAGGATTTTTCTAGCTTTTCAGCAAGCTGCCTAAGGGTATTTATCTGTTTGAAAAGGTTAAGCTGCCATTCCAAGTAACAGCTTCATTCAACAGCTATGCTTTCATCTCCAGAAAAAGTTGGGGTGATGGTGGAATATACTGGCAGCTGTTTTTCCCATAGTTTTCTTGCAGTACATTCTCTGGGATGGTATGTTACCACAAATTGTGGTTCCCAACAGGCTGTGAAAGGAATAAAGCTGCCTGTATAGTCCTGCCAACTTGTTCTCAGCACAACCATTTAAATTCTTAGTTTTTTAAAAGTAACCTTTCAACTTTACAATCAAAAAGTGTGCCCCAGCTCAAAAGTGCTATGACCTCTGCCCTTTGAAAGTTAGCATTCCCCCTTTCCCTCTCTTCAAAGGGAGTAGTTTTGTAAAAGTAAGGGAGGATTCTGTCCTGTAATAAGGAAAGTGGGCACAGAATGAGATCTATAGGTCTCCCTGTATTCTTATTTTCATCCCTTGGCTACATGTATTTACCTTTTATAAGATTCCACTGAAATAATGACACCCCTGAGGTTTTAGAGATTGTCTAATGAAGCTATGATATAGTACTTCTTGTTGTTCCGATACTTGGCACAACTTTATTAAAAGTGATAGATGTATTGTGTAACAGGCGGTGAAGTATGCGTTATGCCTAGCAAACTCCAATTGGTGTATTAATAAATGCACATTTTGTTTTTACTGAAGTAGTTTTAAGTGTTCATGCTTAAAAATGCGTGTTTCCCCTTAATCTGTTTTTCTGTTCTTAGAGGTCAGTATGACCAGATAATTAGTAAACTGAATTCCTATTTTTCCCCCAGAAGAGTGCTCTCTTCATTTTAATAAACAAAAAGACATTGTGACCAGTCATTAACTGAGGGCAAAAACTCCAGTAAACTAAATTCCCATATTTTCTAAGTAAGAGTAAATTAAAAAGTACCCACATTTATTCGAATCTAATGCTCACTTTTTTGGGCTAAATTGCCATCCCAGAGTGTGCATTAGATTCGTGTAATATGGTAATCTTAGTGCTGTACCAAAGCAAAAGGGGAAGCTACTTCAGGAGCACCCGGAGCTCCTATTTGAGAGATGTCATCTCTAATTTTATTGCCATGGCTCAATGCTATGCAATGCTGGGATTTGTTGCTTGATGAAGCATCAGCATTCTTTGCCAGACCTCATGACCCAATAGCATTGAACATTCATTCTACAGCATAGATGCACCCCAAGATTTTCCTTTCCATTGCTGGAAGCTTTGGTGTGCTAATACTTTTGTTTTAAAGAAGGAATTCTAAGCATGCAGCTACTGCAATTAATGCATACCTTTTTTGGCTAAATGATAAAGAGTACATTATTTCCGCTTTACATTACATTCACCAGCAATTTTTTTGGTTTCAGGGTTTTGAAAATTGAGATGTGCACAACATTTGATGGTGCGTTAGACTTGAGTGAATACAGGTGTATTGAGCACAGATCATTTTCAATAAGTCTTTTCTGCAAACAGTTTTATGTACGGCCATGTTCCAGAAGTATTCTCTCCTAACATTTAGCCCACATCTATGGCAGGCATCCTCAGAGATTGAGGGGGGGGGGGGTCTGTTGGAAACTAGACAGTGAGGTTTATATATCTGTGGAATGTTCAGGGTGGGAGAAAGAACTCTTGTCTGTTGAAGACAAGTGTGAATGCTGCAATTGACCACCTAGATTAGCATTGAATAGCCTTGCAGTTTCCTGCCTGGGGGAATCCTTTGTTGGGAGGTGTTAGCTGGCCCTGACGTTGCAAATGGCCACATTGATTAGCATTTAATGGCCTTGCAGCTTGAAAGCCCCTTTATTTGTTGTCCTGATTGGATTTTAGAGTTTTCTAGTACTAGTAGCCAGATTTTGTCCATTTTCATGGTTTCCTCCTTTTTGTTGAGATTGTCCACATGCTTGTGGATTTCAGTGGCTTCTCTATGTAGTCTGACATGATGGTTGTTAGAGTGGTCCAGCATTTTTTTGTTCTCAAAAAATATGCTATGTCCAGGGTGGTTCCTCAAGTGCTCTGCTATGGCTGACTTCTCTAGTTGAATTAGTCTGCAGTGCCTTTCATGTTCCTTGATTCGTGTTTGTGTTCTGCGTTTGGTGGTTAATATGTAGACTTGTCCCCAGCTGCATCATATATGGTAGACTCCTGCAGAGGTGAGAGGATCCCTCTTGTCCTTTGCTGAACGTAGCATTTGTTGGATTTTCTTTGAAGGTCTGCAGATAATTTGTAGGTTGTGTTTCTTCATCAGATTCCCTGTGCGGTCAGTGGTTCCCTTGAGGTATGGCAAGAACACTTTTCCTCTGGGTGGATCTTTGTCTTTACTCTCGTGGCTTGCTCTTGGTCTTGCAGCTCTTCTGATGTCTGTGATGGAGTATCCATTTGGCCTGTAGAGCCCAGTTTAGGTGGTTCAGTTCACCTTGGAGGACGTGGGCTTTGCAGATTCTTTTTGCACTGTCTTCCAGGGCTTTAATTGTGCTTCTTTTATGACTTGGGTGATGGTTGGAGTTTTTATGTAGGTATCTGTGTGTGTTTTATCAAGAATACTTCTACTTTTAAAGTGACATGAAAAGAGAATTTCTTACATTCTCTGTCTTGACTATTACACTGATATGTTAAGACCATTTTAGGGACACCTATCTGTATTTTAAAGATGGAAAAATGGAAGTATGCCTCCTTGTATTTGCTGATTCATATATAGCTTTTGCTCTCAGCACTTCAAAGGAAGTTGCTGTACAGTTTGTGCATTCTCCCCATCTACTGTCAGTGGCTGTCCAAGATCTAATATCTCTTGTTGAATAAAATGATGACTTTGTTTACACTTTGAAATAACAAGAATTATCTATACCCATATAACTC